TGTCCAATGTGGGATACGATCCAGGGTCTTGGCTTTCAATAATCGACGGTTTATTCCACCTACCACAACTTCCTTAAGTTTGTCCATGAGTGTATATTTAATATAGATAGAATTTTGACTCAAACCTTCGCAAGAAGTTTCTTTATTATTATTTTTTAAACTTTTACTGATGAATGTAAGTCTAATACACCGAAATATACAACAACATAAAGCTTTATTAAGACAATTTAGTCTCATACGGATTCTCCAAGCACAGAAATGTGGGGTACATACAAGAATAACAGTAGTAACAACAACAAAAGTCCCTGTTATGACCTTTTGGTCTTATACAACTTCTCCACGTAGAAGAGGGTATATACAGGAATAACAACAATAGTTACAATAATTAGCAATGCTATTTACAATGTGTCAAGGGGGATAGTAGCAGGAAAGGGGTTAATAAACCGAAATATAAAACAAATGTTAAATTGATCAGGTGGTAAAATTACGAAAATCTATTTGTATATCTGAAAATTACTGATAATCTGCACCATCTATCGGATTAATTATCGACTCAACTTTGATGGGTTCAAAATATTTAGAATCCTTTGTTTACCTAAATGATTATTTCGGAAATTAAAAACATCCTATATATAACTCCTTCTTGTAGAAATGTTTTTAAAAGAAGTTTTATCATGAGAGAATGAGCTTTCGGACTTTTTTTACGCTCTTCTTCAGTAGGATAAACTCAACCTCGCCGCGCTTAATGAACCTAGATCTATTTATACCATAAACAAATTTTATTTACCAAAATTGAAGAGCCTCTTTCAAAAGTAAAGTGTATATTTACATATAAGTGGGTTATAATATATATATTTTAAAAGCCAATTACTAAACAATGTTGATATATTTTAATATAACATCATCTTAAACCGCAATTTGAAAATTGCGCCAAATTTGACAAAACTGGCGAAACTGCTGGTAGAGGTTACCATCGATGAGCCAGGCCTTTTAAATTTATTTTTCAATCATTAGAGTTTAAATTTGCATAAATTTATATATAATTGTTTATAAAAAAAGTAACGTTTTATTTATCCGTTCAAAATAGACTCTCTTGGTCAATAAAATCCGTCTTGACATAATGCCTTCAATTCCTCCTTAGTTTATTTCTCCTTTAAAGTTGCATCCCCGCAGTATAGAAAATGGGTGAGTGTGTAAATAAGTCTTGTACACCATTCCGATAATTAACGATATTTCCGAAAATGTTCCAGAAGCTTAGAGCCAGGGAATCGAACAAACGAACGTGATCAAATTGGCAAAAGAGAAATAGCCAATCGATGAAGACCACGCTTTACTGCGATCATTCCAGCGACCAATAAAAGACCAGCTTCGGTTTAAACAACGCCCCTCTAGCCAATGGTACTCCAGGGAGATTTCGGCGCAGACGATCTGCCCCGGATTTCGTCTGGATTGAATTAAAACAGACCTCTACCTATCCGAACTACCATTGGAAAGGATTTGGAATTTCTGTAAAGTTTCTTTTTTTTTCTATTTTCGCCATTGAGATTAAGAAGTTCCTTTCTATTTCTTATTTCATTTATTCTTTTATTTTCTTTTTTTTTAGCGTGTTTGTTTAATCTCTTCCACTCTTTTTTTTAAACGTGGTTAAAATTAGGATGATTTGATTTTTAACGATGTTCCCCCCTTTTTTTTATTTGAAGAATTTTTTTTTGTATATATATGTAGTATTTTTATTAGAATGTATTATATTATAGGAATTTGTATGTAGAAAACTCTTTATCAATTTATGAACAGATAATTAATTTTGATATATTTATATTTTGCTACTCTCTCTGTGAGAACTTATTTAATTTATCCCTCTGGTTTTCTAAAATAAATTTTAATTTTGTTTCTGTATATGGCCGAAGTTTCTGTTATTTCAAGAAAAAAAAATCTTGTTTACCGTAAAAAGGTAAAATAGCGCGTCGTTTGATTTCGCAGCGCTGTCAGATTAAAACAATGTACTATAAATATGTTAATTTTATATTAATATACTAGGGAAAAAATGTAAAAATATTAAAAGGATTATAAACAAAGAAATCAATATAGAGAATAATAGTCCCAATGGAGAATTTTAAAATAATTTTATGTAAATATTATTATTTTTTTAATTTCCGACATCGACACCAGGGGAGCCACCGTAGCACTACATAATTTAATATTTGGAAGGATGTCTATAAAAATGAACACTTATAAAATCTCCAAGTGTACAAATTATTATAGTTTCCAAATGTTTAAAAGTAATTGTTTTAATATGTATATTAAGATTAGAATTATTTTTGTGTTTTGTTGTTGAAAAGAGGTGCAGTCGTAAAAAGTAAAGATAATTATTTACCTTTCAAGTAGATTTTATTTTGAAATACTTGGAGTAAATTATACATAAAATTATTTTTATCACAGTTATATAAAATTTATAAAATGAATTCTATATTCGTGATTTTTATTAGAAAAGGTAGGGTTAACTATACATATTTACAACAATAATAATTAAAGTAGTATGTTCTGCATCTATGGTCAAATATGTAAAACAGTCAATGAATGAAAATAAAAAATATGTTTTTAAACAAATAAAATAATTGTATTTTAGATTATATAATATGTATATTTTTAAAATTATTTTTATTTCTATGTACAGGACACCTCGGCTTCGCTCGGATTCTGCTCAGGTGAGTGATATTGCCTAAATAATATTGTGTGTGTGTGCGTTTACATATATTTAATTATTATTATAAGTGGATTAAATAGAATCAGTTTCTTAAAGTATATAGTAGTGAGGTTATAATAATTATTATCATGATCATTTCTTTCGACATCAGAATATGCAAATTAGTCCGAAAACGGACAAATTTGCATATTTTGTTGGTTCCGCATACCTTTCTACATTATTATGACACCAATTTGGCATAAAATTTGAATACGCTATATAGAGAGTTCAAACTATATCACTATTACTATTATAGTGTTCCAAACCTGGGAAATGCCATTAGCACGATAGCTGATTTGCATAATCTATCGGCTCGGCATATGCAAACATAAACTTTAGTTATATCGGAGGGGGGAGGGGTTTTGATAAAATTGTCACACTATAGAGGTACAGGTCTGGAAGCATTGTGTCAACTGTGGAGTAGGAAGATTAGTCTGATTATAGTTAAATAGGCATTTATACCAGTTGTTCCATATACTCGGGTGAACCCGGATTATTGTGTCTAGTAAAAAATAACGAACTTGACTAGACATATTTCAACCTTCAATCAGAGACTAGAATTGTCCATGTTGACGTGACAACGTCTTAAATTAGGTTGCGGCTGGGAGTCACTTATGAAAAAGTGTAACGCCCGGTAACGTTACGATGAGTCACCGAACGAGAGTGCTGCGCGCGCAGCGCTAGAGAATTAGGCGCATTGAATCGGCGCATGCTTGTCTCTGTCTTTGTCTTTCTCGAACGTTCTTGGCGTTGGAAAAACAAGAAAGCGTCATAATACAAGTTCACACGTGTGGTTAAAGTATCGTCAGCTGTGTCTGTAGTGAAAATGTGGAGTGCTTAGATTCGTCATTTACAACAACTACAACAATAAAGGTAAATAATTGTACACTGATATTTCATTATCGTAAACTATGATTGATTGATTAATTGTTAGATTGACACAAAAGTTGAGAAACTGAGTTTATAGGTTATGTCATACTATTGATAAATGTTGATAGTGTTAAGTAAATTATTAGTTTAAAATTAATTAATTAATTAATTATTATTTTACAAATTTTAAATAGTTTCAAATTTATTTAGCAAAAATTTGAACCTTCGATCTGAATAAATGTTTTGATTTTCGAATTGATTCTTTAAAATTACAAATATTAAGAAAAAGTGGCAGATATAAGAAAACTTTATTTAAACTGTGTTGAGCAAGAATTTTAACATCTAATATTCTACCGTTGTCACGTAAAATCTTCGCCCGTAAAACCGACTTTTTTTTAGCCTATGGTCTTTCCTACAAAGTTCTATAAGTGTAATATTGTAATACCAAGAGTCAAATCTTTTTGTTAAAATCAGCTCTTCTGCCATAGACTTGTCCTGGATTCATAGAAAATAAAATATATATATATATATGATATTGATAAAAGTACCAATATGTAAATATGTAACCAGTTATATATACAATGTTGGTGGAGAGATATGTAACTTGTAGTTCTTCCGTTGTTTAACTCTGTTTTTACTGTACAACTGGTGGTGGTAGTACATAGCTCTCATTGGTCTAAGATTCAGAGAAAGGTTTGTAAATATTTGACCTGTTTTAAGGATGCGTACCTCTTGATAGAGGTTGGTAACTGCCAATATTTGTCTTTCTCCCCAAAGCCATGTAATCAAACACACAATTGTATGGTACCTTCAATCAACAAATTATTAAATAATACTTTTCTAGAAATGTTATCATTATGTTTAATACTCTCTCCTATAATTTTTCTTAATTTAGATATATATATATATCGTAATTTAAACAATGTGATATGCAAGTAATAAAGTATGACGTCTTTTCTAGTCGTCTCAAAATGACACCAGCTTGCCACCGGACACCCGGGGGATCCAGAGAGGGACAAAAAGGGCGTTGGTCCGGATGTTGACAGTTAGTTAGGTTACAGTAGATATTTCGGACAGGCCCGCTGAGTCTAGCTAGGTCCGTTGTCATCTCACGGCGGCCCTCGTGGCCGCCGTTTTGGCTCCTCTCTGCCTCCGCGGCTTCATGCAGGACGCCGAGCTTTCCTCGGTTAATCCTCAACTTTCCCCTGGTCCTGGTGCCACGTGAGACGTACTAGGAGAGCGTCTTTTGATCCTAAACTTTGTGCTTACTGTCCCGTGCGGACATCCCACTCTGCACGCCTTGCCACTCAACCCCGACTGCTTCCAACTCACTTGTTGTCTTACCCGGGTTTACGACATATATTCTCAAAAGGAATAGAAAATATAACCCTCGATAGCTCAGTTGGCAGAGCGGAGGACTGTAGATCCTTGGGTCGCTGGTTCGAATCCGGCTCGAGGGATATTTTTTCACAATTGCCCTCCTGCAAGGTCTAGGGGGGACCACCTCTACTCCACCAACTCGCCATGTGTAAATAGCCAGGACAAGTTGACTCGAATGTAACACCTGTAAATTGAGACGAAATAAACAAATAATAGAAAATAAACGAAGAGATTGAGATTGAAACTGATTTATTTCAATGCTCATATAAGATTATATATAGTTAAATACAGAATAAATATGAAAGAGAAAGAAATATAGACTCACAGAACAATATAAGGGACTATAATTAAATTTGACTTTTGACCCATTACTTTAAAAGCTAATGATTTCATTAGATACTCGAGGAATAATTTGTTGCTGGAAATAAATTCTCTCTTCCAATCCTTAATGGAAGAAATCCAATTATACGCTGTATAGATTACGTAACAAAGAAATTAAAAAAATAAAACATTTTAATGAATTTCTGTGCTAAGTTCTTGTTCTAGGATCTTTAAACAAAATATTTCATATGAAAGTTTGATGATTGATAGGCCTAAAATTGTGATGTCATCATTTGTCAAATATATCTCATTTAGGAATTCCTCTTTTATTTCATTTATGGAAATACGCTGTCTTTATAGATAGTCTCAAGACAGAGAGAGTAGTGGTGTTTGTTCCAGTCTTCACCCCAGTTTTTAGACATATCAACAAAAAACAACAACAAAGCCTTTATATCAACAACAACAAAGCTTTTATTAAGGACCCACGTCCCATACAGGATTCTCCCAAATAGATAAACAGAAGTAAACATAACAGTTATCTACAGAAAGTGGAGAATTACATCAATGTTTTCTCACGCTGGGTCCCTCGTTATTCTGTGTTATGTCATTTGGACTGTGCTGTTCTCCAGAATTTGTGAAAGGTCAATGTATTGTTCCTGCTTTTCACTACTTTTGCCAATAAAACATATGGAGAATTTTTTTCATAAGGCCAAGAATATTTACACCTGATATTTAGATTTTTTTCTGGCTACGTTATCTTATCATCCCAAAATAATTACAGTCCTGGTTTAAAATCCAAATTCAAAACCCATGTGTGTTTGGAAGAAGATGGTGGTAAATAAAAAGAGACACAATAAGATTCTAAAAGATTTATTACAAACATTATCATCATCATTAAAGGAGAAAAAGGGTTAAGATGAGCACGGTAAATATGTAAAAAAGGTATCACACATGCTAGGTCAAAGAACGAATTTAGGCCTAAAGGGGAGAAAACCACACGTTAGGCCTAAGAAATCTTGTTAGGCCTAAAAATACAGGCGAGGCCTAAAACAGATTAGGCCATCGCTCAAAGAGGCTAGGCCTAAAAAGATTTAAGAAATACTTATAATAGAGTCCAGTAAAATGTTAACACACAGTGCAATAGCTATTTACAGTGCAGAAAGTATTCTAAGATAGAGAGAAATTTTTGGTACGAGATAAAACTTGGGTAAATATGCAAATAGAACCTTTCAAAATGTTTTCCACTCTATCTAGATTAGAACCTTGGTCAATTGAAAGCTAAAGAGAAAATCTAAAGCTAAAAAGAAATTGTTAGAATAAATTATAAAAGCTATATAGTTTTAAAAAGTATTATATATATGTGTTTGTATAAAAAGATGGAAAAAGTAAGAAAAATATAAATTTTGACATAAAACAAGGGGTTAACTATTTTTTCACAGTTGACAGAAAATAGCGTAGAAGGGAAGATAAATGCTGTTCTAGGAAGCTAAAAGATAACATTCTACATTACATATTGGCTGGTAGTTTTCACCAAAAAAGCCTTTTTATTTCACGATAAAATTTAGAAAGACATTGCTGGTATAGTATTTGTGTTTCTGAAATTCTATTTAATGCGTTCTCTCAACAGAAACAATATAAAATTAAAAGCTATAAATGTATGAAATCAGAGTGGTAAAAATCATGAAAAAGTTAATTTCCTGATCATTTTAATTAAACGTTGCTGATGACATGCGCCATCTATCGGAATTAACTGAAATTAAACGTTGATTTTTTTTTAATTGAAGAGAAAAAAAAATCTCGATGAATATTCAGAATTGTCAAAAATTTGGCGATAAGTTTATATTTATTCCGATTGATGGCGCAAAGTATCATCAACGTTCATTTGCATAATCAAAAGATATCGTTTTCTTAATAATAAAAAAAGGTATTTGTCTTTCTTTTAACCTGAGACAGAGAGAAGTTTTTTATATCTTTCACTTATGTAATTCGGAAACTTATTTACATATTGAAAGCCCTTTATGTAATTAATACATGTTTGATGTGTTTACTGAGCTAAATATTTAAGTTTTTCAATACCTCATTAGGTTTTTTTTTACATAGCTTACTATTCATAGATCTCAATTACTAGGTTCAAATGGATAAAAAATATTTGGTCATCATATATTAGAATACTGAATTGTAAAGTGGGTAAATTGTGGTAAATAAATAATATTTACATGGAGCATTGGAAGATAACCATGGATAAATATAGTTGAGGATTGGCCAAACAATATATATATATATATATATTATGTAAATTAAATTTAATTGTCATCTATCGTTAAAATTTTGCACAAATAAATTTAGTAGCAATGCGTTTCTTTTAAATATCATCAAATATTATCTCTACAGACCTTACTGCAATTATATGTGCAATGAATCATTGCAGTAAGGTCTGTAGAGACAATATTTGATGATATTTAAAAGAAGCGCATTGCCAGTAAATTTATTTGTGTAAAATATATAAACATGTTATAAAAAAAAAAAGATTTCTGCTGATTTTGGTATGTTGAGTGGGTTGTTTGATAATTATGATACTGTTTTGCAGTCGTGGGAATAATATTAATAAAAAATAGTTATCAAAAATAGCTTTAATTGAACTAAAGGAATATATAAAAAATAATAATTTGATAAAAAGTACCGCCTGGCTTAAGGCGTAAGGCGTAAGAATATAAAAATGAAAAACTTATTTACATAATATACAAAAGATTTGAGCCGGCCATCGGGAAACAACAACAATGAGTTTTTATAGGGGAAGCGTGACCTCTGGCGGTCGATTTAGCAGAGTATTTGAATCTATGAAATATAATTTCAAATAAAATAATATTTAATATAATATATATGTATGTAAATATGTAAATAGAAAAACACAAAATATCGAATAAAAGTAAATAATATTTTTGTAGCTGAAATTCCTACCACAATAACAAACATGTTATTATTCCGATATGTAAATAGAAAAATCAAATTGAATAAAATGTATATAGATATTATTCATTAATAATCTATCAGCAATTATAAATTCATTTTAAGTAGTCAATAAAAAATTAATGAAATATTTGATAGATGTTTAAATTTTAATTAGGAATAACAATTAAATTGAATGCTTTTAAAATGTCTGCCAAAAAAAATAGACGAAGTTTTAAATTTGTCATAAAAATTACAGGTAAAGTGCTAGTAAAAGAAATAGAATTCATCATCTTATTATTCTCAAAGAGTTAAAAATTTATAGAATTCTATATATATATATATATTTACATATACATATATTTTCATTGATTAATTCGTAAACCTTTTTGATTTTGGCCAACCCTTTTAAATATATTAGTTTCAATATTTTAAATTTAAAAAAGAGGTCACACCTAAAAGAAAAACGATAATTTTTTTTTAAATCACTTAACCATTAAAAAAAAATAAATTTTATTCTAAAAAAAAAAAAAAAACAATCAATAATTTGTAGTTTCATAAAATATTAAATTTGACGAGATGATAAAATATTTGTCTTAAAACAGTGGTACCAGATTTCATTTTAAAGATAAAATATTCACAGATAAATATATAGATAAATATTTGATAAGGCTTGGTAAATTGGGTATATAAGATCTGGGTATATAATAATAATATATTTTTTTATTATATAGAGTTTTATAGAATATATATGAATAATTTATAATGTTTTGTTCCCTTTTTTAATTTTTATTACTATTATATAGGATTAATAAAATTGTTTTTTTTTTTCTAAGAAGATAAAGATATTTTTTTCTATATAGAGAAGGTTTATATATAAGATATTAATAATGCGTTATATACAATTATATATGTATATACGTGTATATATGTATATATACAGATTTATAATTGATTTCTATTTATTTAATATATCGATGAAATTATTGTGTATAAAAGAAAAATAATAGTTAGTGCATTTTTATAATTTTATATATTTTATTTTTTATATTATATATAAAGGTTTACGCACAAACATAACACGAAAATAACAACAAAGAGACAAATGTCGCCTCTCCCGTCAAAATAGACGTCAAAACTTGACGCCTTCTATTGACTGTCGCCGCAAACTAGCGGCCTCAGGTCGGTGACAAAGCCACAACAACAGCTTTGGTAAACTGAGAAGTGTTCACCTAGAGACCATGGTTTCGGGCTAATGGCCCTTGTCAGCATAGAGCGGACTTTATTCCATGAGATCCACAAAGGATCTATTGGAATCTTCACAATCTACCAAAGGGGTGTTTAGCTGGCTATAATTTGGCCATAGATTTGGCCCAGCCACTTTACCAGCTACTGGTAAACCTAAATTACTGATTGATATTTAATTCCTAAAACAATAAGCGAGCTCCGCCGTTTTCGCCTCTGGCGAGCGGGAAAATGTCGCGAATAGCGACGAATTTGGTACGGGCTGAAAGCCCTTCAAAAGCTGCACAAAAGCCTGTAAGGCACAGCACACAAGCTCTAGCTCGCGCTGAATTATCTGCGAATGAAGATCTGCAGAGGAATATTTCAAATAATCTACGCGCAAAGCAAAGCTATGCAAATCCGCCGACAGGCGTTAAAGATGCAAATCTGGCCGCCGTGCGCGGTGACGTCACGACCGGCTCGGCAGCAGCCACGTCATCTAACGGCGCTGCCCGTGTCCTGAAAAACTGGGCGGACTACACCGAGGACCAAGGCCCTGGAGAGGACGACGACTTCACCGTCGTCAAGA